AGATGGACGGACAGACAGACAGACAGTCAGACAGACAGACAGACGGAAAGACAGACAGTCAGACAGAGAGATGGACGGACAGTCAGACGGTCAGACAGACGGACAGACCGACAGACGGAAAGACAGACAGTCAGACAGAGAGATGGACGGACAGTCAGACGGTCAGACAGACGGACAGACAGACAGACGGACAGACAGATGGATGGACAGACAGACGGACGGACGGACGGACAGACAGAGAGACAGACAGAGAGACAGACAGACAGACAGACAGATACAGTTATAGTACCTGTTGCTCCTTTATTGATTTGACGTCACTGAACTCAGAGCAGTAATAATAGTGATTTGTGCATTAGAAAACACATCTAATAATGACAGTCTAACATGTTTCACCCTCAATCAAGCCCCAGCCAGTCTTATTTTAGTATTATTTATATACTATTATAGTATGTATTAATATTTTGAATTAGCTTTTTTTCCATTTTCATCTATATGTATATTTCTGTCTGTTTGTCTCTGTCTGTCCATCCGTCCATCTATCCATCTGTCTATATTTCTATATTTCTATCAGTTTTAGTTTTAGTAATTTTGGAACTTAAACGTCTTTGTTTCGGTTAATCGCCAATGTAACATTTCTAATTTTCATTTCAATTTTTTAAGGTTATCATTTTATTTTAAGTTTTATCAATTTTGTCATGTGCTTTTGTCATTTTTATTAGTTTTTGTTTTTATTAATTTATTTTTTTATTATTTATGTTTATTTTTCAGGTAATAATGTGATAAATAATGTTCAGTTACCTGCACTAACTGATCGTTTCGCTTCATAAGATCTCAAAATATCATCAGGAGCCGCGGGGATTCATTCTGTGTTGCCTGTATGAGCTTTTTTGACTCTCGAAGTGCCGGCACCCATTGACTTGCATTGTATGAATCACCAAGGAGCACGATTTCAGCTAAAAATCTTCTTTACTGTTCAGAAAAAAAGCCTCTCGGATGGGTGAGTAAATTAACAGCACATTGTCATTTTTGAGTGAACTGTCCCTTTAAGACAGTTTTGGGCAGTTTCTGACGTACCCCAGTCGCCTTCTGCTTCTGCCAGACGTACGTGTCTCGCGAGCCGCGCTCATAACGGTACGTGGGCGGATAGGTGATCTCCTCCTCCGCTGGACACACACACACACACACACACACACACACACACACAGGAAATGAAGCGGTAGGGAATGGAAATGCTGATCTCAAAGCACATTTAAATAACCAAGAGAAAAACTACATTTAAAACAAAAAGTATAAGCGTACCGAAGCGAAGGAAGACCTTGTTCTTCTCTCTCTCCAGATTTAGCTGGTCCACCTTCAACAATGGCTCAAACTCCTTCCTGTTGATGTAGTTGAGGATTTCCTGTGAGAGAGAGAGAGCGTTCAGACTCACAGCTGTGCGGGTCACACCGGTCACTACTGAGCACACTAGAGTACTGTTCACTGCGCAGTACACACTAGAGACAAATGGAACAGATCATGCATTCAGAAAAATACGCTGCATACAGTATGCATGCTGCAGAAACACTACAATACAGTATGCAAGTATGGCAATATGGTAGTATGCGATTCTGATTCAAATAACAAATAACCTTCACCATATCTACCACAGACACACATGAAACATTTTAAAGGCACAGTATGTCATTTTCACACTTGTCTCGTGGCGGTTTACCTGTATGTCCATGTCCAGCCGGTAGTTGAGATCGCCGAACCAGAAGAGATGCGTGAATCTCAGCGAGATGTCGAAGGAGTTCAGCTGTTTATCGCCCAGCGACAGCTGACGCAGGATGTCCAGATAGTTCTGGTTCCGTCTGCCGGGGGTCAGAGGTCATTAGTGCATCACACATTCACTGAGGAACGGCTGCCAAACAAACCGTGAGCTGTGTGTTTATTACTCCAGACACACCTGTGGATTTTCTCATTGCCAGACGTTAAGTGACAGTTAACGAAACCAAACGACGTTCCGTTGAACATGAAGGACACGCCCACTGCTCCTTTGTTTCCTTGGAAACAGACAAAAACAAATAAATAATACGAGCTGGGGCTGCATGATTTGGGAATGAAATTGCTGGAAAATGTTCTAGTAAAAATTGCGATCTAAACCGCGATAATAAATTCCAAGTTTGCTATGCTTGTTTGTAGGGCTGCACAATTTGGCCAAAATTTTGTGATTATATATTGATAAAATAATAATAATATATTATTATTTATTTATTTTATTTAAATAATACACTATTTATATAATCCCAAAAAAATAAATAAGAAATATTGTTATTGCAGTATTTCACTGTAAAATTTAAAAAAACTCAAGTATTTTAGAAA